TCAGACCCAATAACCATTTGTTCCGGATTACTCTAAGTTTCTCCGCTATCCCCAGTCCTCTTTAATGTGTTTTCGTTGCGAATAACCGACCAGCAGTTGAATTGGTGTGGCAGGACTCTTGTCATTTGCAGATGATAATTTGGTCTATCGACATGGAAGTAAACGTCATGAGATTGCCAATGCAATGCACAGCGAACTTGATCGCATCTTATCCTGGTGTAACGACCCCAGTGCACATGTAAACTGCTTCAAAAGCCCCAGTAACGTGGTTCTCCTTTAACATGCAAACCCGAAGATAAGCTCGGATTTCAAGCACCCTTTGCACAACGTTCTCTTTAGGGAGAAGGGCAACAGGTTAAATGGGTGCAAATCATGGCTCATGCAGGTCTGCAGTCTTAAGACATCAACCTCGGCAAGAATGGATACCTGTGCCCCAGGTGCTCAACTGCACCTTTTCCTGTGTTGCCACGCTTGATAGGAGCTGTCGGAGCAAAATCCAGTTGCTGTCAATGCAGACATCTACGTGCTTATAGGTGAAAATTCAGATGAGATGGATGCGCTGATCTACACAGATGGGTCGTTGTACGAGGACAAACAAGTGCATGGGCATTTACTGCATGCTCTGCAGGCAGAACAGTCCAGGAGGCCAGTGGTGCCTTCTGCATGAATACTAGCAGCGTTACAATGGTGGTGATGGCGGTAACACAAACTTTTAAGTGTCTAGCATCGCAGGGCTATTCTCATGTGTGTGTGCTGAGTGATTCCATGAGCATGATTCTGCAGGTTGAGGCAGGTTTTGTACGCAGACAGTGGATCAAGTCATTGCAAAACTCCACTGTGCGTGGAGCAACCATCTTTTTACCACAGCATGGTGTTGTTGGCAATGAAAAAGCCAACAGATTAGCCGGCTCTATCTTAGTTACAGAGGGCTGACCCATGGATCATACCGACATTGTTAATGCGATGAGAGGCAGAACGTTAAGAGAATTTTGGGAGCAGCACTTCCACATCTTTGTAAGAGTACAAGAATTGGGAGTAAAGATCGGCACATCCAGGCACGAGAAGCCCACTGGATGCACTGGAAGTCTTGTCAGCCAACATAGGACTGGGACTATCAACCATGGGACACTGATTAATATGTTGAAGGGGGAATCTGAGCACCAATGTAAGTGTCCGAAGTGCCATGAAGACAAACCCAAATCATATTTCATAATACTGACATTTAATGATGCGTCAAACTTTATCCGCACAAGTGTGGAGAGTGTAAAGGAAATAAATTCTTGCGTGCAGCGTGGTGATTATTTTGATTGCTTATCCTGCACAGAATGAAATACTGTGTTCATCTAACTGACAGGAGGCTAACGCAAGAGATTGACACCCTGAGTATAAACCTATTAGATTCTATGTTTGATGTAATTCCTAGGAATATTGTTATTATTATTCTTATTATTCTCCACACACACGCACGCACACACACAGAGAGAGAGAGAGAGAGAGAGAGAGAGAGAGAGAGAGAGAGAGAGAGAGAGAGAGAGAGAGAGAGAGAGAGAGAGAGAGAGAGAGAGACGCACTGTTCGAAACAGAGGCTAATTTTTTGCTTCTGCCGGATGGTGGCCGATGCATTTTTGCTCCATTTGTAGACTGGATATAGTTTCGTCGCCCAGCTTCTGAGCTGAATGCATGGCGTGACCCTGTGAGCTGCAGATTGCATTTGGAATGTTTTTTCGACTGTGACCAACGTGCTTGTGTGAATTGTAGATTCAGAAAATGGTGCGATGCCTGTCTTGCAGTGTTGTGGTTCATCAATGATGAACTGCAGTTCTAATACTGTGATGAACATTCTGTGTGTTTTTCCAGGAGCTGAGCAAAGATGGGGCAACCCGTTTGCTATGAAGCTGAAACTAAGGCTACCAGATATATATATATATATATATGTATGTATGTATATATGTGTGTGTATATATATATATATATATATATATATATATATATATATATATATATATATATATATATAAGTTCAAGAATCTTAAACACAATGAGATACCTTATCATAACTTTTGACAGATTCAAGAATCACATAGACAATGTCAGAGCCAGCAAAGGTTTGATAGCACTGAATGCGATGGCATATGCTGACACTGAACAACGCCTACTTTTCATTCTCTATCACGGACTTGCACTAAGTGTTATAGACGAACAAACGAAAAAACTTTATTTTTAAAGGGTTAAGAATTGGGCACGCAGGCCCGTCTAACATTCTGCCCTTCGAGGTCTCCCTTCATTCTTACATCATTTCATTCACACATCAAGTTATAAACATTATCAATAGCTGAGCCTCTTAGCTGTCAGATAGAAATACTGGACAGGGTCCAATATGAGGCCACAAGACTCATTCTTGGCTGCAAAAAAAAAAAAAAAAAAAACCCAGATAAGTCATGCCTTGCCATGTGATATGTCCTTGGTTTAGTGACTTGACAACCAAACAAAAAGTGGCTAAGGTGAAGGCGTACATGAGAATATGAGCAGATATCAACCACCTACTGCACAATGCTATCAATGATATAAAAGGGATGCTTCTCAAAAGAGGCTTCTCCTGGACAGCTGAGGCACACAAATCTAATCCAGCAAGTATGTGACCTAGATGAAAACAATGGATGGATACACCAGTAGACATGCGTGTCTTGTCTAAAATTGTCATAACACTGGGAGGGTACTGCAGGAGTCAGATACCCGCCACTGCAGATGCCAAAATTATGGCACTGAATGATCAGCATTCACACCCAGAAGACGTCGCCATTTACAAAGATGGGTCCGTGAAACGTGGGTCAAGATTAGCATGGGCATACACAGCACAAAGGATTGGGAAAACAATGAAAGAGGATAGTGGTACTTACCAGACAACTACGTCAAGCATGACAGTGGAGATAACTGCTCTTCCAGAGCTTTTGCATAAGTAGCAGAACAAGCAGCCACACATGCAGTAATCATTTCAGACTATGAATATGCTTCAAATAAATCCTTACAGGTAGTCTACGCTCCAAATGGGTAAAAAGCAATTAGAAGTCGCAGTTAACCTCCATCATCTGGATCTACACACCTGGGCACACAGGAGTGAATGGTAATGAAAGAGCGGACCAGCTGGCAAGTAATGCACTGATGAAAAGGGACGAAGCATGGACAGAGCTGATATCAACGCTGTACAGACTAGGTTGGGGAATAATGCTGAATCTCTGTTGCTAACATGATTGCATGACCAAAGAGTTTGGCTTGGTGCACATCTTCAAGGTAAAGACAGGAGACAACTTTTCATTGGAACAATCAGTAGAGTGGCTGTTGCATAGGAGGACTGAGCACGCATGGGAATGCCCTTTGTGCAAAGACGTCAACTGTGATAACTAACTAACTAGCTCGCACGCACAAAACACCCCCCCCCCCCCCCCCCCACCCGATTTAAAAAAATACTGATTCAACAAGATACAAACGTCCATGAGAACTGGCTCGTAAATAGCACCATGTCCGGGAAACTTACAATACTTTGGCCTCATTAAATGCTACAGTCATTTAGAAGAAAGGGATGATGTTTGGAAGAAGAGGAAGGAGTTTACCAAAAAAAAGCTTGAGAATGAAAATGCAGTCACAGGGAAATTGACAAGGGATTGTTGGTTTTCTGGAAGACTTGAGTAGGGTGAGGGCTGGGCTCTCTATTGATAGATAAAAGACAGAAGAAGAAGAATGATATATTACTATTACACCTAAAACAATTTAATGAAGAATCTTATTTTTGTATGTTTTTATGAGTTAAGCAAACAGTATTGGTAATCAATGTCTGCAGAAATGATTAAAGCTTGCTTTATATTTTATTAAAAATTAAATCTGTACTAAATAAATTTCAAGGTATAACATATGAGGTAGGCTGTGGCTAATTTCAAAACAACGATAAACACTTAAGAATAAATAAGTGATACAGATAAAGTGAACAAATATGTTGACAGTAAAGTGCCTACATGCTAATCTGATACCAAAAGCAAACTTTCGTTACTGTCCATAAAATACAAGCACACTCTCAGATATCTTCATCATCAGTTACACAGCAATGGAGGTAAGCTGTGGAAATACTCACTGAAGTGTATATGTTAACAAGCCATCCAGTATACAGGGCTGAGGAATTTTTACCTGTCACATAACACATTGTTGGTTATAGCGTACACTTATTAACTGTATGAATCTGTTATCAGCTACTCTGCTGGACAGAACAACCGTGCACACCGCAGCAACATGGCAAACTACTTTCAAGATATCATTATCCCTGGCAAGGAATGCCTCATGTGGTGCAACAGGAACACAATTCTCAAAACGGAATTGCAAAGAATAATGACATTTTACACTCATGAATATGTGCTTCCCTTAGAAACTAGGTTGTAAACAGCAAAATAACTAAAAACCTATGGGGAAAATGCTACTGAACTGTACCTAATTTCACTCAGCCCATATGTTTTGTTCTGATTCATGACTCTTTTCATACTAACTGTCCCTTCATAGATGTGAAGTTTCAGTACTTAGCTTGCACCTTCCCTGATTTGTTTGCTTGGAGAACTCTGCAAAGATGAAGATGAAAACTTGGTGCCCTCTTTATTTACACATTAAATCAATTATGACAGGTTAAGTCCAGATTCTACTTTGCAACTGCAGCATTCATCATAACATATTATTTCTAACATTACAATTATAAAATCTTCTGCACTGGTTTATCTTCTGTTGATTGGGACTGAGCTGGTTTCTATCTGTTAAATCAGTGTTCTACATTTTCAAACAAAACAACAATTTTTTAGTTTAAAATTACTTGTCAATTATGATGATATATGTAGGTATGTATGCCAGCTATAATTATATATGTAAGTATGTATGCCAGCTATGATTATGTATGTAGGTATGCCAGCTATGATTATGTATGTAGGTATGCATGTACCAACACACACAAAAAAGCATATGCATCTGTCTCAAGCTAAACTGCGCTGAGGAAAATCATAATAACTGAGATAATCAATCAACACTTTGGGAATCTGAAGACTGGTAATGTTTTCTGGATTTGTCTGCTTACGAATAACTTGTCTGGAAAGCTGTAAAAGACTAGGAGCAGTCTGTGATGCTGAAAGAAATATGACATCTCCACATCGCAATCTGAAATAAAACAGTCAAGAAAATTGTCACTACTCTTTGCAACAAAAAAAGACATTTTCTAAGATATATATTTTTAAACTTCTCCAATGAAAAGTATAACACGATTATAAAGTTACTATGTTTTTCATATTTAGTTTTGATATATATTGATTTCCTGCTTTTTAATGATGATACCAATGACATTTATGTAGATGTTTCAGAAAATTATCAATCTTATTTAGAGATTACTGGTGTGAATTTGTAAATCTATGGAAGTGAATGTCACATAACAGATTTGCTTCAAGTGCCAGGTTGTAAGCCAAAGTGATCTTGATTTTCTGGCTTTGGTAGTTTTTTCCTACTCATTTACATGGGATCTCAGCAAATAAATACATGATAAATATTCATAACTTTTCAAGTAAAAGATGCTTCCAATTTTCAGCGGTTACATTTATTTACAACTAAATCTCCTGTTGCATATTTGGAATTCATTCATTTATTAGTTCATAATCTTGTTGTGCCCGTTATAAGTCACATAGGGCTGGCAGTCTATTCCTCCATTCCGTTCTACCCTGTGCAATCAGTTCAATATCACAGATGGAATCTAGTCCAGCAGCTTTGGCCTCTCTCATCAACATTCATGCGTCCTCGCATCCTTTATCACTACACTTCTCACTGTAATGCCTCCTTGATGGTTCTCTGCTGGTTGTGCCATCTTCTCTACCTTAAAACTATTGATACAAGAGGTTGCTTGCCCAGACATTTCTCTTATTTCTTAACTCTTACCATTTTATTTTCCATCATTTTTCTCAGACTTTTGTTTTCGAATGCATTTAACTTTTGTTCCATGTCATTAATGGTTCTCCAGCTTTCATTAGCATATGTTAAAATTGAAATAACATTAGGACAGAAAATCTTAACTTGTGGTTTTTAAACTAGACAGTTTAGAGTTCCATATTTTGTTCAAGCTATTAAAAGCTGTTGATGTAATAATTTATTTCTTTGTATTTTCTTCAATATCAAAATTACTACCTAAATAACTAAATTGATCTGTTCCTTTAATTACTTTTGTCCTTAGTGTTACATCTGCCTAATCTGTTGGTGTCTTCAGTATATTTGTCTTTTAATTACTTATTTGTAGCCAAAACTTTGGAGCTATTTCTGTTAAATTAGTGTTTTTTTTTTTCTCCCAAACTGTTTTGGCCCACCACCCCCTCTTCAGTGAAAGAAATAGTCCAGCCCACCCCTCCCCCTTTTCTCCATTCCTGGAATCATCATTATCATCATGTGCCACACTGAAAACCATATGGAAGCATCATTCACTATCCTACTCTAGTCTATTTATTGCCTTCAAATGTACCTTCTGTACTCAAAACAAAAATAATGATGTAATTGCAGTTTTGTTTTGTATGCCCCCCCCCCCCCCCCCCCCCCCCCCCCCCATCAATTACAGCATGACTGGTCTGTAATTTTAGTAGTCTTCTCTCCAGTTCAACTTCATAGATTGTTTAAATTTTGTCTTTAGCATTTTAAAGCTCTGAGGCAGATGGGCTGCATAAGGTTTCCGGTAGCATTCGCAAGCTCTGCCTTTCCATTTCTAGGGATCCATAGTAGGCTGAACATCACTGCTCGACTGGTTCTGTTCTTGTGGACATCATTTTGATGCTATCCTCTTGAGAGCGAGACGGCCTGGAGGACTGATTTTAGGTATGTAAATATAGCATCTTATTATTTAGTTAAACTGGAGAATAGATTTTTCTTCTTGAAATCTATAGTTCAGTGGATGGTTTGGAAGCCTCTTAAGCTTTTCAAACAAAGTAAGGAATGTATACTGTCCATGGGGTACTTCTCGCAGCTCGTTGTTATATTCATAAGCTCATATTTTGAACCTCATAACAGCTTCACAAATTTGTTTTTCGCAGCTTCAGCCCATGAGACTGAGGCGTACTGCATAAAAGGCTTACCTGCTTTAGGGTAGACTAGCATTCATGTTTTTGTACTCACTCCCCAATATATTCAATCCAGGTGTTATTTTTATTATAGCAAGTCTTTGTATGCCTTTTGATTTTATTTTATTTTCTTCATACGTGTTTTACTTCTTGATGAGAAAAAATATGACGAAGATATATGACAGGGCTATTCAATTGGCGGCCGCGGAGACCTAGCAAGTGGCCTGAGGATCATTGCTTGCTAGATTATATTAATGATCTTTCTACTCTTGGGCTCGGACCTCTGGCCCTTGATGATTCAAACTTTTGGCTCGTGAGTAAACTTAGCTGAATAGCCCTGATCTATGACACTGCTGGATTTTCTTACATTAAGAATATTATTTCTTTGTGTGCATGACAGAAAATATACTGTTTCATTCAGTTTTGTTTGTTTTAGGTTTAAACTGATATGACTGAGCTTCCATATTAACTATAGTAGGCTTAACCAAAACTGCCAATCCACATTGTGCCAAATACTTCTGACAGAGAAGTGCACGGGGGAGGAACATAACCTTACTTATGCTAAGATGAGGAAATGCAATCTGAAAACAGTTTTGTCAGGGCAGACCAGACCCACAGGCTTGCTTGGCAGTTGTTCTATGAAGGAAGCTCCTACAGACGGACAGACAGAACATTGCTTTTTTTCATCTGGCAGTTTCTGCTGCATGTTTTGTTTGAAATGTATTGGTGTCAATTTCCTTCTGAGTAAAAAAAAAAAGCAGGCTGAATGAGGGATCGTGCTGAATGGGCAACACCGGGTCTCTATAATAATGTCTAAGTTTTTGTGTTCTGGAGATGATGATTTTCTTTCCTAGGCTTGACTGGCTGTCAGTCATATGCATCTCTATAAATAATCCATTTGTCTAAAAAGACTATTGGGTCAATACAATTCTTTGCCTAGTTCTCTACTGTCACCATTGCCTTTTGAAGTGGACAGGAGGTTGTTGTGGTGTTTTCAGTGGCCGCCTAAACAGCAAAGCCATCGGCGAGCTTTGGTTCTATATAGCTCTCATTCTGGTATGATCTTGGAAACTTGCTAGTGTGTTTAAAAAGTCGGTCTCTCACACTTTAACAAATATCTTGAAAACTCTGGTAGGGTTGACAAAATTTTTTTGCATGTGGTCTTAGATTCCCCATGTCCTTATGATTTTATAATTTCTACTGCCTACCTATTTCTATTTCTACCTTGTCATTGAGAGTTAGAAAAAGAATTCTTGCTTGCTACATACATCCAGTTTTAACATATGGCTGTGAATCCTGGACAATAGGTAGGCAGGCCAAACAATTCCTGGAGGCCTCGGAGATGTGGTTTTACAGAAGAATGCTTAGAATACCTTGGACCGCCAAAAAGAGCAACCAAGAGGTTTTGAAAGAGGCGGGAGCTCAAAGACAACTTATCACAGACATCAGAAGGAGACAGTCATCATTTTTCGGCCATGTTATGAGAAGAGGGAAAATAGAACATGTTGTGACCACTGGAAAGATATGTGGAAGGAGAGATAGAGGTAGACAACGAGAGAAGATGCTTGACAGTCTTGTTGCATGGCATGGAGGTGTGTCGGCACACAAACTGATACATGCAGTAGGAGATCGCAGATTATGGAGAGGGATGATCATCCACGCCAGTCGGCAAGGCACCTGATGATGATGATGATGATGAATTTCTACTGCACAGGTGCTGCTGTTTTCACCTATCCTGCAGACAATGAAAAATTTATGGGAGGCTAATGTTGATCTGGGATTTTTTTCCTCTGCCCACATTAATTAAACAAATCTTTCACTCAGTTTACGGTTACATCATCTGCTGCCTTTAACACTTCTGCAGTAATATCATCATCACCTGCTACCTCTTTCTTTTGCTATTGAAGTGATCGCCTTCCTGATGTCCATGACATTTATATGTCCTACATTTATTGGTTATAAGGTCTTATTAGTCTCTTCTTCAAAGTTCATTGGTTCTTGTGGACTAGGTCTATTTAATACTTCTTGGAAGTGTTCTGCCCATCTCTTCTTCTGCTCAGTGTCAGAGGTAATAATTATGCCATCCTTACTTTAACTCTACCAGACCGCTGGCCCGCTATTACAAGAATTTCCTAATCTGCTGCTAAACCGCTGTCCTTCAATGTCGGGAATTTGCGTACTATAAGAAAACAATGCATCACAAACTAGAAATAACTAGCCAATAGTAATCAGATCTCGTGGATAGTCTTCTCAGATGTTCAACCGCAAGTGTTTTGATTAAACTTGTGTTGATTTAAGTGAACAATTTCTCAAAATTCGAAATAAAACGAGCGGCTGATGAACCAAGCACTTTGACAGGAAAGTGAAGTAGGTCTAGGCTTTTCACAGTCCAACAGGTGATCAATACTTTGGTTGATTCAGACTCTTGGGGGTCATAATTTCATGAAGGATACGTTCACGGTTGAAGTGACACAGTCAGTGAGAGGTGGAATGATGAGAAGAATCTTGAAAATTATAAATCTAGAAATAGATCGAAAGTAGGAGAAGAGGGCCTGTCCCTCAAACAGCAACATCTGGTGTTCACTTTGTGAAACAAGGTTGATCCTGCTAGGTGGGTTAAAACACAAAGGTGGAATCTTGGCGCTAGATAAAAGGTAAACCTATTTTCTACAGTGTCTCCAAGTTTCATCTTATTCTAGCCACTTGTTTGCATGTAACTAATATTTTTGTATATCATGTTGGTTTTTTCACGTTAATGCCCAGGAGCTCAGGTATAGGAGGTTGGTTTAGGGCCTCAGGTCTGGTAGTGTTAATGAAAGGACTAGTTAGCTATTTTAGTGTACTGTACAGTATTTTACTATTTCCATTTTTAACTAAATGTTCTCCATCTTTAGCTAATCTATCGACATATGCTCTTTTATCTGGTCTTGCAAAACATTTCATTTGTTTATCTTTCTTGTTGTTATCTTTTTTAGCCCTGCTTTCTTGTTCCATTGTTTTAGCACTGCATATAGCAAGCTTCAATGTCTTTCTTTCCTGAATACACTGCCATGTGTCATCACTTATCAAGGGTTTTCTATTATGCCCCTTTAGTCCCGCACTAATCCTTGCTGCTTCTAAAACTGTGGTCTACATCATTCCAGTTTTCCCCAATTCTCTGATCTCCATCTTCTGCAAGTGCTTCAAATCTTGGTGTGTGTGTTTTTTTTTTAGCTCAAACTGGAACTTTTCTTTGACTTTTACTTTGCAAAGTCTTTGACCATCTATTCCTTGTTGCACGTTTCTTGGTAGCTGTATAAAGCTTTAATTTTCCTATATATTTTCCTGCCCACACTTGCTTCTCTGTATGCTCGGACATCCATCCAAGAGCTTCTATATTTGTTGTTTATACAGAGGTGGTCTATTTGATTCATAGTCACCCTATTTGGTGAATGCCAGGTTATTTTCTGAATCTCCTTATGAGTAAAGATGGTGCCTCAAAACAGATCTGACTGCATACATAATTTTGCTGGTTGTTCTCCATTTTCATTTAGTATGTTAACTCCTTCCTTTGCCATTACTCTCTCAAAACCCATATTTTCTCTACCTACATTTGTGTTCAAATCTCCCATTACTATCACTAGATCATGTTCAGCAATTTTATTTACTTGATGCTGCAGCTGGTCATAAAAGTGATCTTTACCCTCAGTCTCAGCATCATTAGTTGGAGCCTAACACTGGATGATGGTCATTTTAATATGTCTTTTACTAGACCTAGCTCTAATTATTCTGCTTGAAATAGGCTCCCATTCTGGTAGACATTTTATAGCTCTGGGTGTCGTCATAGTGCCTACTCCTTCCATATAAAAAAATAAAAAAATAAAAATCTTTTCTAGTCATATTTTTTAGTCAAGTAGTGTGCATATCTGGCTGCTGAATTCGGCACAGCAGCTTTCATCCATAACCATCATATGTTTTACAGGAGGGGCCTCGCCCCACACCAAATTCTCCTTTCTCAACTGAGCTTGGGATCGGCAATGGCAGAATAAGAGAGCTTAAAACCATCTTCTTGAAATCTGATATCATTATTAAAATAAGCAGATTTAGTATTGTTTTTGTCTTCAGATGTCTGCCTTGTTAACTTCTAATTTACATCATGATTACTCAAAATTATGCCTAAACAGAATTCACGATCTTATCACTAACTGAACTGTCTAACTCAATTTCAGGTATCAAATTAAAATGTTCGAAGACTCCCTTCAAATTGAGATCCTGCTGTTTCACAGTAAAACAATTCTGAAAGGTTATTTTTATAGCAAATTTTCTTCCTAGAACATATTGGGTGTTGTTGAAATCTTCCACCTCTGGGATACAAAAATATGTCATTTATATGAAAAGTTCAAATTCTGCTAAAATGTATACACAGAATTCCTTGTGTGGGTTCCATTGCCCCAGTTTATGTACAGAATTCCTTGTGTAGGTTCCACTGCAACAGTTTATGTACAGAATTCCTTGTGTAGGTTCCACTGCAACAGTTTATGTACAGAATTCCTTGTGTAGGTTCCACTGCAACAGTTTATGTACAGAATTCCTTGTGTAGGTTCCACTGCAACAGTTTATGTACAGGAATTCCTTGTGTAGGTTCCACTGCAACAGTTTATGTACAGAATTCCTTGTGTAGGTTCCACTGCAACAGTTTATGTACAGAATTCCTTGTGTAGGTTCCACTGCAACAGTTTATGTACAGAATTCCTTGTGTAGGTTCCATTGCCACAGTTTATGTACAGAATTCCTTGTGTAGGTTCCACTGCAACAGTTTATGTACAGAATTCCTTGTGTAGGTTCCACTGCAACAGTTTATGTACAGAATTCCTTGTGTAGATTCCACTGCAACAGTTTATGTACAGAATTCCTTGTGTAGGTTCCACTGCAACAGTTTATGTACAGAATTCCTTGTGTAGGTTCCACTGCAACAGTTTATGTACAGAATTCCTTGTGTAGGTTCCATTGCCACAGTTTATGTACAGAATTCCTTGTGTAGGTTCCATGGCCCAGTTTATGTACAGAATTCCTTGTGTAGGTTCCATTGCCACAGTTTATGTACAGAATTCCTTGTGTAGGTTCCATTGCCCCAGTTTATGTACAGAATTCCTTGTGTAGGTTCCATTGCCCCAGTTTATGTACAGAATTCCTTGTGTAGGTTCCATTGCCACAGTTTATGTACAGAATTCCTTGTGTAGGTTCCATTGCCCCAATTTATGTACAGAATTCCTTGTGTAGGTTCCATTGCCCCAGTTTATGTACAGAATTCCTTGTGTAGGTTCCACTGCAACAGTTTATGTACAGAATTCCTTGTGTAGGTTCCACTGCAACAGTTTATGTACAGAATTCCTTGTGTAGGTTCCACTGCAACAGTTTATGTACAGAATTCCTTGTGTAGGTTCCACTGCAACAGTTTATGTACAGAATTCCTTGTGTAGGTTCCATGGCCCAGTTTATGTACAGAATTCCTTGTGTAGATTCCACTGCCCCAGTTTATGTACAGAATTCCTTGTGTGGGTTCCACTGCAACAGTTTATGTACAGAATTCCTTGTGTGGGTTCCATTGCCCCAGTTTATGTACAGACTTCCTTGTGTGGGTTCCATGGCCCCAATTTATGTACAGAATTCCTTGTGTAGGCTCCATGGCCCCAGTTTACGTACAGAATTCCACATGTGGGTTTCATGGCCCCAGTTCTGGTGAAAGAATAACCTCATTGCCCTTTCAGAAGCATATTGTAAATGACCTCTAATTAAGGTTTTGCTGAAATCAGATGTACTGGGCTAAAAGATGTAGATATCACAACCTAGCTGTCAGTCACAAGAATCGCACAAACGGCTCCTGTAAGGGTGAAAGCAGAAATGAACAGAATAACAATTTTGTTGTGGCATTACTATAAAAGATAAATGTTGCACTTGCAATGCGGCCAGATTTCTCCAGGACCATAAATAAATAAAAGACAATGCACTAACCCAACAGCAAGAACACTTCCATTTGGAGAAAACTGACACGACAAAGGCTCAGGAACATGTTTTATGACAACTGGATCGCCAAGGTCCTCAGTGTTCCAAAATCGTACATACCTGACAGAAAAGACCATAAAATAATTATCAAATTAGTTGTATTGTTTTCACTTAATATACTGAGATGGTAATCATTACTGCTGCTTCTTTGAAGTTGGAGTGCGTCTGCCCGAAAGGTGAGGAACAAAAGTCTGCATACAAATAAGTCAGATCTCTTTTGCAAATATCTGCTATGTGCCGCTAGGTGTTGCAGTTGAACAGATGATTGGTAGCTGAGTCAGGGAATGTTTAGCTACCTGGTATGGTGTGATGCCTCAGGTTGTCAGTGACTCCTTCCATCCATTTTCTTCTCTTCCTCTTTGTGTTTTTATTTTTAGGTTGCAAGCTTTTGCTGCCAGGAACGGTGGGTTCGCTCCCATATGCAACCGAAACATCTTTGTCTCGTCTCTCAATAAATTCGACACATGTTGAATCGTCAGTGGATTTAAATGTTTACATAAAACTAAAGGTATACTGATAATTTAAAATGCAGTTAAGTAATAGCACAGGTTGAAATCACAATAGCGCAGTAATATATCAATAATTATTTAATAACTTGACACAATCCTCTATGTGCAGGGCCTGATCTTTTGTGTGGATGCAAAGGATGAAAACGGGTAACAAAAAAAAACAAAGAAACTCAAAGTAATGAAGACATAATTTGTTAAAAGCGAAGAGTGAACATAGGAGAAAAGAAAACACTGAAATACTAGTAACTTTTACAATATCATAAACAAATCACCTTAAAGAGACAAATGAAATTAGGCAGAGACTAAGTAGAAAAATTTAGCTCATAAACATATTAATCAGCAGATAGAAAAAGACAGAAAGATGTATGCTGGGTGATCATCATCAATTTTCACTTCTGCATTGGCTATTGTCATTCTGTGTCGATGTAGAAGTTCTTTAATGTCATCAATCCATTTTCTCCTAGAGCGGCCTCTTGCTTTCACTTCAGATCTTTTCATGTGTCGTGCCTGCATTTTGTAGCTGTTCTAGCAGAATTCTTACTAAATGACCAAACCATATGATCTTCTGTTTATCAATGAATTGGCTGTCTGGTGTTGTTCCTACAGTCTGTCTGATAATATCATTGCTTACTTTGTCTCAGATGGTTAAGTTGTCAGCTTTTCTCAGGCATCTCATTTAACAGGTGTTAATTCTACATAGGTTAGTGTTTGATAATGTCCAAGTCTGACACCGGTAGCAGTGATGGAATGAATATGCTGTTTATAATCTGTTTCTTGGCGCTTATATTTATGTTTGTATGTCTTAATAAAGATCTAAGTTGGTATATAAGTGCACTGACGCATTGACATCTTATTCCTATTTCGAGATCTATTCTTCCTTCCTCCGAGAATATACTTCCCAGATATTTAAATTCTGTAACTTGCAACAGACAAGCACCATTGAATTGAACCCGATATGTAGCTGACTAGAAATTGTGCTGACCTGCATTAGTTCAGTTTTAGTAGTATTTATTTTCATATTTTCTGCATGTTGAACTTTGCCCCTTCAAATGTTCTGGCAGTCTACTCCCCTCATTGTAGAACAGGCACTGATTGTCTGCAAATAGTAGCTCATTTTGTGTGTGGATCAAATCCTTCTCTGGAAAGAAGAGTTCCCCATTTTCTAGATTTTCAGGGTCAACTGCTTTAGAGCTGGCTTCTTTTGTTATTTTATCTACATGTATAGTAAATAAGAGAGGAGATATGACACATCCCTGTCTCACTCCTGTATTAACTATAAACATATCAGACATGCCTTCTTGTGTTCTCACTACGCTTTGGGAAGTGTGTTACATGGCCGCAATGTTATCTAGCGACTGGCCTTGTATTACATAATCCTCAAGAATAGCCCACAGTTTGTTTATATCTACTCCATAAAAAGTTTTTTCTTGATCTAAAAACACAATATTCAGTTCCTTGTCATATTCAATGGTTTTCTCGCAAACTTGTCTTGGTATAAATAGGTAGGCTGGGTATCAAATAATAATATATTCAACATCCACTTCATAAAAATATCAGACAACAGACAGAAGTGAAGAGTTGCATTCAACAATTTCTATTCCATACAAAGCACATAAAGCAGCAGCAAAAAAATGTATCCAACCGGGATTGTTTTTAATAACAGCTTGACAAGACAAAGCTTTTAAACCTCACAAACAGAATCATACATATGGTCACCAGACCCAGCAGAAGCCCATTATTCTTTGTATCACACATGTTTTCATTTGCTTTGATAACTTTTAAACACACTAAAACTAACTACTAATCTATATGATTTGACATTTCTTTAGGACTTGATTACCCACATCAACCAGTAAAAAAAGCAGTTTTCAATAACTTCATTTAAAACTTGAAGAATACACATACTATTTAACTGAAGAACAGATACATTGAACATATTATTCTTTATCCAAGATGCACTGTTTTGACTGAAGCTTCCTAACTACTGTCCTATAAATACAAACAGTACATATATAACAACAGCCCATATCAAGTCTTTCAGGCAGCACCATTCATACATATAAAACAGTGAAAAATGACTTCACCCATCATCACAGACAGATGCAATGGTGGAGCCATTTCTGCAGAAGGTAACGCCGCGAACATAATGATCATTTGCACCACCAGCAAATATCAGCCTCGGGCTTGGATGCATATGTCTGAAATATACACATCTGAATATTAACACAGCTCACTTTGCTCACTCTGTAGTGTATAAAAACAGCATGATTACAAATACACTATGCAATCAACAACAACAACAAAATAATCTTAACCTAAACAGTCCATGGCCTTGCAGCCTTAACTCCTCAGGTTCAAGAGACCCTGTTATAAACCGCCTTAAAAATTGTTTCCGAAAGCAGCAGTCATTACATTTTTGGTGATATCACTAAAAGGAAAAAACTAGAACATGCTGTAAAAACTGACTGATTAAAAAGAAATACAAGCTAAAAATATGTATTTATAAAAACCAAAAGTGCACCAAGAATTTCATAAATCTCTATGTACAAAATAAGTTGCAAAAAAAAATAAATAAAAAGGTACTTACCCAAAAGTCCAGATTTTTTGCAGAGTATAAGTGTCCCAAACAATGACTTTGGTATCGAATGCTGCAGTTATTAGTAGAGCTGAATCAGGGCTAAAGTCACAGCCAACTACATCGTTGCAGTGTCCTTCCAGTTTATATGGGTGAGTGTTCAGTTTGGCATTAGTCCACAGGTATACCTTTAAATGACAAATAGTATCTGAAACCTCAATGATGTTTGGCGCAGGAAAAGGGGTTGGGGGTGGCAGCACATGAATATCGTAAATGCAAAAACACATGATTAAGCACAAACACACAACAACTCAGACAACAGCCATAATATACATCAAAATTATACATTAGAATAAAGGCAAGATAGTGCTGATAAAAAAAAATCTTAACATCTCACTCATTAAACAGATTACCAAAAAAAAAAAAAAAAAAACTGTCACTATGCTACTGACAAAAGCCATACACATATATACAAACAAATAAGTCAAACAATCTAGACCTTTATAAAAAAAAAAATTTTCACAAACAAGAAACAAACAGCAGACTGCACAATTTACTAACACACTTCACTGTATCGTGCAGAAGCAAACTATGAACAACTGACTGAAATGAAGTAAGTCAATTAATCTCCTGAGTCTTCTTTGTCTTATCTATTTTCTACTTTGTGGCGCTAGACGTCACTTATAAACTGATGATCAGTTTCTGAGCTTGGCCATGCTCTGTTGGCCAGTATGCTGTGATGGGAAGTCTCAAGATATCAGTGACTCCTTCAATTCATTTTATTTTTAGCCGTCTCCTACCTCTTGGTGTTTCTACTTTCATGTTCTACTCTCTGGTTGCATTAAATGGCTAAACCATTCCAATCTTTCTTTTTCAACGAATTAAATTATAATTGTTCCAACAGTTCTTGTAATTTCTTTGTTTCTTACACGAGCTCTTCTAGTTTTGTTCTAATAGTTCTTGTAATTTCTTTATTTCTCACACAATCTCTTCTGTGGTTGATCACAATATTTTAATTAGTAAACTAAAGACCTTAAAAACCAACGAAAATTTAGTGACATTAATAAAGTCATTTTTGTCTGATAGGCAGCAGGTAGTCTCCCTCAGTAACCGTTATTCAAAACCCACACAGTTAAATATAGGCGTCCCTAAGGGTTCAACATTGGGTCCACTACTGTTTGCTACTTATATTAATGACCTTCCGTTACATCTCAGCATAACATGTGATCTGTTTGCTGACGACTGTACAATATATACTAGTCATGACAATTGTAATGAATTAGAACGTTCTTTACAGAAAGAAATAGATAAACTCATAAAATGGAACAATGATAATCGCATGCAAATTAACATTAATAAAACTAAATCTATGGAGATAACAACTAGGCAAAAGCTACAAACATTAGCTGTACACAAGCCACCGCTTGGGCTCTTCATTGACAAGCTACCTATTGTTAATGTAGTTGAACACAAAACATTAGGTGTTTTAATTGACAGCCATCTAACTTGGAGTTCCCATGTTCATGCCATGACCAAAAAAGTAGCACAAAAAGTATATCAACTTGGAAAAATTCAGCACTTTCTGGATGAAAATACACGTAAAATATTTTACGTATCCTACATTCAAACGCATATTGACTATTGTTCCACAATTTGGGATGGCTGCTCCAAATCTAATGTCAAACGGCTGAGTTCTCTACAAAATAGGGCCTTACGCCTAGTTTCCGATAGAAACTAAGTCGAGAAAAATCTTTTATATGGACATCTAAGGCTTCTGCCATTTAGTAAACGTTTAATTTTTAATAAGGCCAAATTTATTCACAAAATCCTATCTAAAGATACTCCAAATTACATCGACCGATTTATTCAATCTAATCCTAAGAATAGCAAGCAACTAGGTTTATTACATTCGCCTAAACCCACAATTGATTTATTTAAAACAAGTCTATCATATTCTGCTGCTCATTTATGGAACCATCTTCCACTCGATCTGAAAACTACAAAAAGTCCTTACTCATTTAACCGCAAACTCTTTCATTTCATGATTATCAGTGATTACATGCCACCTTAAATGTAGTTAATAATCCACAATGTTTATGTGTATCTATGCTGTGTCTGTAGATGTTTCTGCGTGTGTCTGTGTGTCTATGCCTACGTGTGTCTGTGGCTGTGTTTCTCTGTGTGTTGTTTCATGTGTATTTGTATGTTCATCTTTTTTATAATGTGTGTGTGTGTGCATCTGCATGTGTATGTCTGTGAGAGTATTTGTGCGTCTGTGGGTGTGTTAGTATGCGTTTGTGTATGTCTCTGTGTGTCAGTGTGTGTGTGTGTGTGCCATTATGTGTCTGTAGGTGTGTATGGCTGTATGTGTATCTGTGTTTGTCTGTGGCTGTGCGTGACTTTGTGTGTATCTGTATGAGTCTCTATCGGTGTGTCTATTATATAATGTCTGCGTGTCTCTGCTTGTGTCGGGTTATGCGTCTGCGTGTGTGTCTGTGTGCGTATGTGTGACTGTGCTTGTCTGTGTGTGTAAACCTGTGTATGTGTGGGTGTTGCGTATGTCAATGTGTGTCTGTTACCATGCCTGCGTGTGTGTATGTGTGTGTGTGTGACTGTATGCGTGTGTCTCTGTATGTGTCTGGGTTGTATGCGTGTGTGTTTTAGAGCGCGCGCGCGCGTGCGTGTGTATGTATGTATGTGAGTTTGTATGTATGTATGTTTTTATGTATGTATGTGAGTTTGTATGTATGTATGTATGTATGTATGTATGTATGTATGTATGTATGTATGTATGTATGTATGTATGTATGTATGTATGTATGTATGTATGTATGTAGATGTATGTGTGTACTGGGTGCCTATGTGTTTATGTATAAGTGAGTGATTTGGCTTGTGTGTGTATGTGGGTGTGTGTGTTCATGCATGAGCGTGCGCACATATTTTACCACCCATGCTTTTGTTTTTGACTTTATATATATAATATGCATATTATTACATAAATATAACGTGCTTCATTGATGAAATACAACTGCTGTGCGAAAGATGGAAGTTTGGAGGGCCGAATGTAAGACAGGCCTGCGTGCCTAATTTGTAACCCTTTGAAAATAAAGTTCGTTCGTTCGTTCTTCTAGTTTTGTTCTAATAGTTTTTGTAATTTCTTTGTTTCTCACACAATCTCTTCTAGTTTTGTTCTAATAGCTCTTGTAATTTCTTTGTTTATCACACAATCCCAGTCACTTATAGTTTTGTTCACAGCCTTTCTCAAACATCTAATATTACAGGTCATTAGTTGTGTGCGTGTGTGTGGTTGGTTTAAAGATTGAATTTATAATTTGTTCCTTTCGCTCTACTGGGATAGCCAGGTGTTTCAAAATTGGGGTCAGTTGATACATGACATTGCTGATGTGTTGGATTTGTTTCCATCTCTCTGTCTATTCTGTCATCACATGTAAAGGTGCTGCCCAAACATTTAAACAAGTGTTGAACTTGTTTTCAACTTTGGTCTGTTATCTTTATTTAGATTGTTTTGCTGTTCTCTTGCTATACACATCAAAGGTTTTTAAAATGTAAATTGTCATTTATGCCAGAGGCAGTTGTCGTATAGTTAATGTGGTCCTGGATTTAATTAACATGACTGTGGAACATGCACTGGTCGTCAGTGAATAGGAGTTTGTTGAAATTGTCCCGTTCATCCCCAGCTGGCGACATCTGCTGTTCAAATATATGATAAAAGTCAAAAGTGATAAAACACATCCTCGTCTCACTCCTGATGTTACCGGAAACCAGTCTGTAAAGCCAGCTCTTGTTCTGACTGCATTTTTACTTTCTTTATAGATGACTCTTGTGCAGTCTAACAATGTTCTTTTTATTCCAGAATTTTTCCGGATTTTCCAAAATAATTCTCTATAAACTCTATCAAAAGCCTTCTCTCGATCTATGAAGACAACATTCATTTGGTGTTTGTGGTCTACTCACTTTTTGTTGATCTTAGGGCAAATATAGCATCAGCACATCCACTTCCTCTTCTGAATCCAACCTGTGCTGGTCCATGATGGACCTTATTCATTGCCCCAGAACTTAGCAAACTTTTTACCAACATGACTTAGAAAAGAGAGATGCTTCATTAAGTGTTACAATCTTGCCTTTCCTCTTCCATACTGGTATAATCTTCTTCTTTGTTCACCAGCCATAAGCTCCGGTGAAGTCTTGGTTGTTCTTTTATTCGGACTTTGGCTTGAAGGAAGCCCCCTATTAGTCAACTCCTACGACATACTTGTTGAGGAGGCAGTAGGTCTACTCTTGTCCCCCCCCCCCCTCCCCACCCCCACAATGGGGCCTTGGAACCCACATGGAAAATATTCGTATAATGGCTTTTTTGCCAGTCACTTGATACAGTTCTTTCTAAGTTTTCTTAAAGTAACCATATGTCTCCAATTTCTCTACAAGCCTTTATTGATCCAGTTGTTATTCTATCGATGCCAGCAGTTTTATTCGTTGAGCTACCTCTAATAGCTTCCCTCACCTTTTGTTCAAGGATCTGAGGTTTATCCTCATGTGCATATTTGGGAGTGAATGGTACTGTCTCCATGTTATCTGATATGTTCAAAAGAACTTGAAAATATTCCTTTCACTTGTCTCTGATCTTATCTTCTTCATTATAAGTCTACTTGGGCTATCATTTATTTGCATGGTTGAAAGAAATAATGTATTATTCTCATTTTGCTATTGCTTTACAAAAATTGTCGGCTAGATTTGATACAAAGTTCATGAAGGCTTTCTCCATACATTATCCATAAGTTTTTCTTTGCTTCTTCAATTACTTTTGTGGATTGTTGTTTTGCTATTTGTCATTATTCATAATCATCACTGGGCAGATCTTAGCCATTACTTGTTATCTTTGCTATTTATTCTTCTTAACTATCTTGAAGTATCCAAAGAACCCTTTTGCCCAAGAATCCACAAATCCAGCACTTCTGGTAGAGCCCAGTTTCCTATAAATACTGCTCAAGCTGCAGTTTTGCATTGTCCAGTTCCAGCAAAGCATCTAACTGACTTCTGACCCGTTTCCCAGTATGCATGTATGTAAATGACGCATAAAAGATTCTATTTAATAAACATGGCATCTTGGCCACTGTTACCGATATTTTCTGTGCTGAAAGGCTGTGTTTCATAGCACTTCAAAATGAGTCGGAGTAAAGAACAGTGACGATGAAGGTTTTCTAGGTGTGCTAGAAGTTACATTAGATCATACTTCAGATGTAAAAACTGACAATTAACTGTTATCACCTCATCCTTGCATACTGTCAACATCAGCTGACAGCTACGTTCTGCATTTACACACATACTCCCATCTGTATTCTATGCTATTCCTGTGAGTTTATTCCTATTGTACGTGGCTAGCCCACAAGACTACCAGGAAAGACTGGTGACTATCGGGAAAGACCTTTTGACACCTATGGAAAGACTGGCCCCCCGGTATCGCTGGGGGGATAAACTGACATCTGGAGACAGATGTCGACTGTGGACCGGGTTGATCACCCCTAACACAGTATAATACCTCCGATTTCGTACGACCATAATGAAATATGCCCCCAGGGCCCTCCGAAAGGGGGGGAGAATGAAGGGCCCAATCTGATTGATACCCTCGGTGACGACTTTGCTAGCCCCCGGACTGAGATACTCGCCCAACGTCCGGGCTGGCTCTGTACATGTGGGAAAAGCTTCACGGGGTTGCATGGTCTGAGAACGCATGCCGGAAGAATGAAATGCGAGGGTGCTCCACGCAGTGAACGCCGTCGCAAAAATACCACTCCTGTGATAGTTTCTGAGTCGTCAGGGTACGACGGGCAGGGTGAACCCCACTCGCCCGGAGAGGCCCATGACGTCGACTGCGGAGGAGCACCTTTGATGATTTCTGAAGAAGTGCGTTCCAAGATCAGGTTTCCACCTGCGAGCGAGAAGGTGGTGTGGTGTAAGTTGGAGGTTACATTATGTGAGGTACTTAAACAAACTCTAAACAAGAAGCCGCTAGGCGACAAGCTTACTAAATTTGGTGATGTAATATATGAACACTGCTCCCGCGAGTTCGGGACAGTAGTAAAGGCACAGCCGGGTGCCAAGCAGAATACTAGCAGGAGGCAGAGGGACATTCTGAAGTGTCGGGCAGACAAGAATGCCCTCAGAAAACGGTTCAAAGCCGCTACAGGCAGCGAACGGGAGGGGCTGTATGAAGTGTGGGTGCATTTAAAGAACAAACACAGTGCCCTCTGTCGCACCGAGCGTTTCTGTAACAACAGACGAAGAACCAAAAGGGAGCGAGAGAAATTCTTTAGGGACCCGTATCAGTTCGCCCGAGGTCTATTCGAGCAACCGAAGTCTGGGACTCTGGTTGTCAGTCAGGAAGAACTAGAGCTACATCTACGCAAGATGTACTCGGATAAAAAGAGGAGTGAGCCTCTCGATGACAATCCAGAGATCCTTAGCGGACTCAAACAGCCTTCGGTGCCGAAGGTACCATTTAAAATGGTACCTCCCCTTTGGTCTGAGGTTGAGGACGTTGTGAAAAAGGCCAGCGGCAAGTCTGCCCCAGGTCCGAACGGTGTCCCGTGCGTTCTTTACAAGCGTTGCCCGAAAATCCTTAAAATGCTTCACGTCTTGTTGAGACAAGCGTGGATCCGCAATCACATATGTCCAGAGTGGTCAAAGGCAAATGGGGTCTACATTCCCAAAGAGCAGGACTCGAAGAGTCTTTCCCAATTCAGGCCCATCTCGCTGTTGAATGTTGAGGGTAAGATATACTTCTCAGTCATGGCTTGCCGGCTCACACAGTATCTGATGACTAACAAGTACATAGATACGAGTGTTCAGAAGGGTGGTATCCCAGGCGTTCCTGGGTGCCTTGAACACGCGACCATGATCTGGGAGGCTATCCAGAGAGCCAAGCATGAGAGAACCGATTTGCACGTTATATGGTTGGACTTAGCCAACGCCTACGGGGCAGTCCCCCATAGGCTACTGTGGCGAGCCCTTCGCATGTTTCACGTACCGACACAGATCAGTCAGATGATCGAGCAATATTTCTCCAAGTTCGCTTTGCGCTTCTCTACCTCGACGTTTACCACGAGGTGGACTGAGTTGCAGATTGGGATAGCTATGGGCTGTACGATCTCACCTATACTGTTTGTCATGGCAATGCACATCATGTTAGACGGGGCGGCCGGCTACGGACTGGGCCTTCAAATAGGGGATCACTGGTTGCCGCCACTACGCGCATTTATGGATGACACGACTATAATAACGGGCAGCGAGGAGTCTGCCCGCACGATCCTGAATAGATTGGACGCGGTGGTCCAATGGAGCGGTATGCAGTTCAAACCGCAGAAATCGAGGAGTCTGTCAATCCATAAGGGCAGGGTGTCGGCGACCAGTTTTACGGTGGCAAGGAACAAGATCCCTACGGTTCTGGAGGAACCGGTGAAGAGTCTCGGTCGCGTTTACGATTCGAAGCTATCTGACAGAGCGGAGGTCCGGCGAATACACGAGTCACTGGCTACAGGCCTGCTCGCGATCGAGCGATGCAGGCTGATCGGAAAATTCAAGGTATGGTGTCTCCAATTCATGTTGATTCCAAAGCTCCTATGGCTACTGTTAGTCTACGAGGTGACGATGACTGCAGTTGAAGCCATGGAGAACAAAATCAACACAGCCTTAAGAAAGTGGATTGGAGCACCGCCTTGTCTGACCGACGTGGCTCTGTATTGCAAACAGGTTAAGCTGGTACTTCCGTTCAAGTCGATAACAGAAGAGTTTAAAGTCGGCAAGGTAAGGCTCGCCATGCTCTTGCGCGAGTCTTCAGACCCAAATGTCACCGCTGTCCAGCCCGCTCTAAAGACTGGAACCAAGTGGAGAGTCCTCGATGCGATAGAATCTGCTCAGAACGCACTAAAATTGAAGGAGATTATGGGTTACACACAAACCGACCGTCGAGGCCTAGGGCACGGGAAGGTCAATTGGTGGTCGAAGGCCTCAGCCAAAGAACGCCGAGACATGGTGATACAAACGGTGAGGGACAACGAAAACGAGGTTCGGGTCCAGAAAGCAGCCCAGCAGTCGCAGCAGGGCCATTGGGTCAGCCTGGAGAGCGCATTGCCAAGAATACTCACATGGGGTGAGATCTGGCGAATGACCCCGCTGCGACTGAGCTTTATCGTTCGTTCGGCGTACGATGTATTACCGTCCGGGGTTAACATGGTTAAATGGTCTGCGACCAACGATCCGACTTGCCCGTTGTGCAAATCAAAGCAAACTCTTGAGCACGTCCTGTCCGCGTGCAGGAAAGCCCTAGGTCAAGGCAGGTATACCTGGCGCCACAACAAGGTGCTAAAGGAGTTAGCAGCCGTTGTCGACCAGGCTAGAATGAGGGCTAACGCCAGAGCCAGTTCTAGTATCGCCCCCATTCGTTTCCTCAAGGCTGGGCAGGTTCCAATTGGTAAAGTCAACAAAAACGCATTCGCTCCATCTGTGCTAGACTCTGCGAGGGACTGGTTACTGGCGGTTGATCTGCCAGGCCATGAACGGTATCCCGAGTTGATCCGTAAAACCGGCCTGCGACCGGACATCGTTCTCCATTCTGCGCAAAAACGGCAGCTCATCCTGATTGAGTTGACGGTCCCGTTTGAGTCGCGTATGGAGGAGAATCACTTGTACAAGCTCGAAAAGTACAGTGATTTAGCAGCCGGTTTGAGGAGAAACGAGGCTTACACAGTATGGGTATTTGCCGCCGAAGTGGGAGCGAGAGGCCTCGTTTCCACTTCGCTCTACAATGTGGTGAAAGAATTAGGATTGCGCGGTAATGAACGGAAACGAACACTCAAAAAACTGGGAGAGGTGGCCGAAAGGGCTTCTAGCTGGCTTTGGACGCAGCGCAACAACGTAGGGGACGGGCCTCGGTGAGCTGGTCCGGGTATCTAGTGGAAAAGAGTTTCTCATCCCTTTGAAAGTCCATCGTGTCCGAATTGTCTGCCAGTGTTCCTCTGCCAACTGCTAATAAAAGTTCAACATGTGTCCGGTAAACCAAAATAAGCTTGTCGCTCGGTCGTCCAGGCATGCTGACTGTTCTAATTAAGCTGCCGTGGCGGCTTCTTATCTCACAGTACCTCCTTCGAAACCACTAAGTCGTCTTGTCTCTGGCCGAAATAATAACACCATCCGGTAATTCCGTGCAGCGGAGAACCAGCCCTGAGCTTCATGAACTCAGGTGGGCCCACCTCCGAATACGTTTAGGAATCGTGGGCCGAAACGTGTGTCGACAGAGGATAATTTCTACTGATGACTGGTAGATCTCCGCTGTACTTGCTCCCTGTGAGTTTATTCCTATAAGTAACTTTATTTACACAGTTTTATTACTGGCGGAAATTGAGGATTCCCATAGTTTTTAATGGGAATTAATTAGAATTTTGTCAAACTGATGCAAAGTGTACAATTCATGGTAATACTGATTCCAGGGTTTTTAATTTTATCTTCGGGGGGAAAAAGTTAAGCCGTTTTCTGATGCCTAATTTCACCAATCACAATACAGATAGTGGTAAAGTGAACAATACATACCGTTTTGTTACTCCCAACAGCAGCAATGAAGTTACCATTTGGTGCAAAGCGACACCCACAAAGTTTGGATGTCAGAGATTTAAAAGTACTGTATAAGTTTCCTTCATTGGGTAAATCCCACCATTTGAGCGAGCCATCAAGAGATGCAGAAAGTAGCTGCAATGTGCCATCTCTAGTAAAATCTAAACATCTGACTGTATCCCGATGATCTAGAAGATCAATTATTAAAGAACCTGCAAACAGAAAAAACACATAAATCACTGTCTTTACAATCAACTTCTGTATCAATACCCTCAAAAGAAAGCCTAGTGTTCACTAGCTGCAAACCCAGGCAGAAGGTTCTGGCTATTTGTCCACTTCCAGATTCTGGTCTGATTTCAGTTTTCCGTGCACATCCGGTTTACAAATCTGGATTATTTTGTGCAGACTGTTAGTTTTTTGCCTCTCAGGCAGATGCACTCTGTCTGAAGGAAAAACCCTAACTAGTTGCTTTTTTACGAAATACTTGTTAGAAGGTGGCCTATTCTTGTTTCTCTTGACCCATCACATGGGTATATAAATCAGCACTTGTCGGCATATTTTAACCCAAACCAGACCATTTCATTTCACTAATTATCAAACATAGTATTTGCCACAAGGTTATCTGTTTCAATGTTCCCACCTTTACATTTTGTGTAAGATCCCCTGGCTTTCCATATCCCAACAATCAAAATATTTGAGAATTTTGTTTGCACACATCAGTGGGATTATGGTTCCACTGCCAAGGTATGGATGATTTAAAATTGTTGACAAGGTAGCAGGGAAAAGACTATAAGATGTCATAACTGCATTGAACTATTTAAAACAGTTCCATATAATCTCCATGACCATGACTCTTTTGTTAACAGCCTATTATTGGACATACACAGAAAATATCTTTAACTCTGAGCCTCTGGTCATGTGCCTAGCAGCAGTGCATGACAAAACTGAGATATATAATATAAAAGAAACTATAAAAATAAGCCAAGCGAACTAAGTAACAGAAGTTTACTGGCCAATGATAATGCAGTCAATTAACTAGGAAGATTAATATATGAGGGAAAGTCAATAAGTAAGTCACAAATGGTTGTTTACAATAATAAACTTCAGATGATAAAAACTTGAAAACTGTTTACTTTTACACATACACTGTCCCTTTATTTTTCAACATAATTTCCACCAACACCGATAGACATGTCCTATTGTTTTATCAGTCCTCAAACTGCTGCATAGAACTGCATGCTCTGTTTTGTAAACCACATTTTTACTCCACATTTAACTTCTGCATCATTCACGAAATGTCTCCCGCCAAGGTGGGTTTTTAGTGTGATACAGAGTCAACCGTTACTGGCCTGTCACCTCTAATCATCTCCTCCACTTGCTGCATGGATGAGATGTTGCAATCTCAACAGGTTGACCAGATTGGACTTCATCAACAATGTTAGAGCGGCTTTCAGAAAATTCTTTTATACAGCTATGCACCGCTTTACAGGATAAACATTTGTCAGCATAAACAGGAAGCATTTCCTTATGAATGTCTTGTGCAGGCAGCTCTTTTGCCCCCTCCAAAAAAAAAAACCACAACAGCACATCATTCTTTAAGGGTACACTCCCTAAGTACAGTCGCCATTTTGTTTCTGTGTTGCGAATGTGATTGCAACACCTAGCGCCACCTAACGAACAGAGACATAAAGTTCGATGTTGCCTTCACCTAATGGCAGCTTTAGAAACCAGCAACTACATTTTCCTGCCATCCCATTACCATTTTTGACTCACTAATTCACCTTCCCTGGTACACACATATTTTAAATATAGGTTTCTCTACAAAAACAATTGAGATAAACAATGTTCTCAGAATGATCTATGGATAGATCATTGGCACACAGTAACAAACATCTACACAAAGCTATCTGAGATTCTCAATGAGCTCTCAGATTCAGTAATAGACACATTAAAAAAAATGCATTTCTTGCACAGACATTCCTAGAACAACTGCAACAGAAAAAGAAGATAATGTGATTTCTTTACATTCTACAATTGTGTTACCTGTGAAACAATTCCACAACTTGATTCTGCCATTTGCCAAGCCAGTAGCAACAATCAGGTCTTCATCAAAGTGACAGTGTCTGTAAACATTGCAGCTGGACTCTCTGTGAGAGAAGCCTGATCCAAATGCAACAGACCAGATGTTTTCACCACAATCAATAACATGAAACTTTCGATTCTTTAATCCTTCACTGTCACCTTTGCTGTGCCTGTTAAATTAACATTGCAAAAAAAGTTCACATCAAGAAGATCGACCTTACTGCACTGGGTTTTATCCTATACGGCATGATCTCTTAGTAGAACAGCTAACCACCTGCCAAGAGCACTGCATAAATCATGAACTCTATAGCTCTGACAGTGACTCCCAGGGGTCTCTATAATAACTGTCTGGGGAACTGAATGACACAGCACAAGAAATGAGCCCACAACCTCCAGAGCAAACAACTAACATCTTGACTATTTTATCACAGAAAGCCCCTCCCCCCCACCACATTACCATTATAACATGATTTTGATATGTACAGTAAAATCGTATTAACACATACTTGCTTCAGAAGAGCACCTGGCTAACATAAACAAAATGTTGGTCCCACAGAAATGTGTTAGTTTGAGTCCTCAGATTTGTTTTTTAAAACAGGAACTCTTGATTTTGTTCCGCCACTTGGAATTTGTGTCAATGAGGTATTACTGTATAAATTATGCAAATGCCCAATCTCATATCACAAACAACACAGATGGTGGAGGTTAAGGCAGTCACTGCATCTTTCTGTTGCCTTGAGCAACCAGCTGCACAATGTCATGATTGTAACAGACTCACAAAGTATGCTGAGAAAAATGCAGATAGGCATGTTTTTTGAAGAGGCATACTTTTCTCTCACATTCATGCAAACAGAAATATACCATATACCCAGGCATTCATCAATTAAATTTGCCTCCCTACAGATCACTTACTATCCTTTTTTTTGGAAACCGATACATCATACCAGGGTTATATTTTAACTTCATTTCTAACATACCTAGCACAGGAACAACAGAGAAAACATTATAAATAGCTTTCAAAAATAAGATTAAATTAAATCTAGTGATGTGATGGACTAAAAAGTTTTGTAATTCATGTTGACAGAAACTAGTGTTAATCTAAAAACTTTCCATAAGAAATAATACAACTCTGTCAGGAGGAAAATTTTTATTTCTATTAACCACATGTTCTCGGTAAGCGAGTTTCTATCAAGGACAACATTAACACTATTCATCATTTCTCTGAAGGATCACATATTTAATAGGCTGGGATTTTTTCACATGGGCCTCTAGTAATTTCCCCTGGTCTCTGGGCAATAAAATCGGGCGGACGTGCGTATTGCTGCGAACGTAAAAAAATAAAACCTTGGCAGCTGGAAATAGAAAAGAGTAGCCTAATGGCATTGCATGGGCAAAATTTGGAGTAAAAAATCTAACCAAAGTATTTCAGGATCCTCACGGGTGCTATAGAGTTGTGCACTGCGCTGAGATTCTTCAGACTCAGGCTTGAGTTACAAGTAGAACAGATCACTTATGGGTTATACTCGTGTGCCATGATGTTGATCAGTTGAATAAACCATATTTAATACTGTTTTAAGCAGTCACACAAAATTATTTTGTCCTAATATAAAGGTAGTCTATTAATGTTTCAGAAATCTGCACAAAGAAGCTTAGGAAGATGAGCAAACGTACTGTTTTCCTTTCTTACAGTCGAAAGGTATTAAATGCAATATGTGGTGACCACTTGACCATGCAAAGTACGAGTTATCTGGAGCCCAAGCACATGTCCATGCTTCTCCACCAGCCTTTATCCCAGCATTCCTGGTTATGGAAATCAGCTGCTCAACAACGGTAGCTTGCTCTGAAACATCAAAGTAAAGTGACAGGTCAATAAGATTATGACCACCCCCCCCCCCCCCCCCCTTCCCTAAAAAAATAAGCATTCTAAATTCTGCTTTACTTGAAAGTTATAACAGAAATATACCCAGTTTTTTTTTTTCTAGAGGTACACAATGGTTTCAGTACCAGCACTCTCTTTTTCAAGATTGACAATTTTATTTTGTGTAAAATCACAGGCCCAAAACTGCAAGCATTTATCACACTCACATTCTGAGGAGGTAATGTCAGGCAATGTCTGCAGGACCAACTAAAAACAGCTACTTAGGAGGTAATGTCAAGCAATGTCTGCAGGACCAACTAAAAACAGCTACTTAGGAGGTAATGTCACGCAATGTCTGCAGGACCAACTAAAAACAGCTATCAGTCAAATGCATTCCTAAATGGCTCTACACACAACGGAGTGGAGATTCTGCATCATGATCGGCCAAGAAGAGAGAACCTAATTCTTCTATAGGACGTTATTTCCTTGACTCTTGACAGATAGTTAATAAAGACAGTGCTTTCAGGATGATTTACCACACACCGAATAGACGTATGCTAAAAGTGGTTGATGCTGTATCAATAAAACTCTACTTTTCTATGTTATGTAAACAGAAAGATCATGTGATCAATTCGAAATTACCATGGTATTCGCATGATCAATTTTGAATTTCCGGCAGATAGATGTACAGAACTTGATCATGTGGTTTATGCTTTTCAGCACACACAAAAAGAATTCATTTAGTGCTTTATTATATGTTGATTTAACTGTAGTAACACAACTGACGAGATACAGCAAAATATGCCAGGCAATAAATTGTGCAATGTATTGTTTGTTTCTGCATTATTTAAACTGTACAATGCTTTTTTTTTACAGGGTTTTAGGAAACAAAAATCCGTGATCACAAAGAAAACCAAAAACGCCACAAACGGTCTAGAATGGGCCTTATTTGTCATAAAAGGATATGTAACAAGAGGACACTTAAAGTTTAGGTGCTTCTGTAATTCACATTTGTGTCAAGTTGAGGTGGCAAGTACCTGCAACTTCCTGCCAAGTATTCAGATTTAAAAAACCAATAGGCAAACTTCAAATCTGCCGTACTCAATTTTCTTAAAAACAAATGAGGAACTAAAAAAGTAGGACAAGACAAATGATTAGGAACTACAATGTGGAATAAAAATGTCAAAGATATCATTCCTAAAAATAAGGAAGCATACAAAATGGACTGCATCCAAATGTGAACAAGATTATGTTATATAGATTGATAAGAGTTGCAAAACGAATGATCAAAGCTTCTAAAGATGAATCCTGGAATAAGTATGGACAGCAGATGGCCACTCTTAGTAGAAGTTGTGAAAGAGAATTTTACAAACAGGTTAAAAATATGAGAGCAAGAGATTAATGCTACAACCCAACCACTATTATAAACAAGAGAAACTGTCCTGTACCTTTTCCACATTAAAAGTTAGGAAGACGGGCAGAATATTTTAAAGAGTTCAATCAGTCAGTGGCCTGTCTTTTGCAGAACCTTGCTCCCATAACAACCTACCAGAAAACTTCTTGATCACAAGCAAGATGCTCCACGTCTGATACACCCAGGTTGAGATCATCCGCCACATCCTGCAAACATCTTCATATTGGCCTGCCTCTTCCTCTCTTCCCAGGCATATCATCATCAATCATCTATTCTCTTTATGCCTAGTGACATATGAGACTTCAGAGAGGACTTTCCATGCTTTCCTGTCCTGTGCAATCTTCAGTGCAGTTTTCCATGTCAGAGATGCCGCACTCAGTTAATTTTCCATAATTCGTCTCCATGTTTTTTTGTGTGTGCGCGCCCCTTCTTTCTATTTCCCTTTGGTATCCATGTGAGAGCTGTTTTGGAAGGTATATCAGGATTCATTCTCATAACGTGGCCAAGCCATTTCCATCTTCTCTTGGTTATCATACTGTTTAGGGTTTCCTGTTGAAGTAGTTTAGTGTTTGAGATTGCATCTGGCCAGAAAATGTTCATTATATTCCAATAATATGCAGTTTATAGTTCTGCATTTCTTTATTTACTTGGGCGATTTTGACTGGTTTTCAAAAATCGTTCTCAAATTGTTTAGAGTACTTATTTCCTCTTGAAGTTTCAGTAACGTAGTTTTTTTTTACAGGGCAAACCTGTCAACACTACGCTTAACCCCTGAGCCAAGAGGCCATCTTTAGTCTGGCCCCTCATCAATGAATTGTCCGGTTTGGGTGGCCCTGCCAGTAACATACCTTCCTGCCAGTATAGCTCACTAGATCACTGAGACTCTCAAGGTACTACAAGGTAATGACTAGGAGGGGAGTCCCAGGCTTATACCCCTCCATTATTGTTCTCTCTAAACTTTTGTGACATTTTAAGTGACCAAAATATTTAAATTTTCTGTGTTTTATCGTCTTTAATGGCCAATCTTCTTCAATATTCAGTTCTTGAAGTATGGATGAATTTGTTCTTTTCTTTACCCAGGATATTCTTAGAACCCATCTATAATATTTGTATTCAAAAGCATTTATGCATTGTTCAGCTTGTTTAGTAAGTGTCCAGGTCTCTCAGGCCTATGTTGCAATGGGAAAGATGCATGATCTTAGAAATCTAATTTTTGTAGTTCTATCTGTCCCACTCCATAATTTATTCAGTTGTTTTAGTCTTTGAAGAGCAATTGATAGTCATCGTTTAATTTCCTTTATTGTGTCACCATTGCTGGTAATCAATGACCCAAGATATTCAAAATTTTCCACAACCTCCAATCTTTCCTCATTTACCCACTGACTACCAAGCCCTTTAACCCTTACACTTTCCCAAATACCACATATTTTAGTGTGTACTAAAAAAGCCACAGCTTCACAACTATTTAACATAAACTTATCATATTTTGTATTTTTGCTCCAAATTCAACAGACAACACATTCCAAACACACACAAAATTGAGTTTGTTTCACATCATCACCATGTGCCTGTAGATTGGTGCAAAAAAGGCAATTGGAAAATCTGTTATCTGACAACAATACAGATTTTTTAAAAATGTCATAACTTAAAGAAATAAATACCACTCTCTAGCTGAGTCGGGGACACAAGGTAGATGTTCCAAGGTAGAAAGAAACACCCTATCTGATTAATTTTTTCTCCTTAGTTCTTCTTCTTCTTTGGTTGGCCTGAAATAAGTTGTCTATATCAGCAGTTTTGTCTCTTGTATAAATTTCACTGTCGTTGTTAGTTCATTCAGTGGTCCATAGAGTTTACGTCCCACTGTTGTTCTTTCTGGCCAAAAGGTTTGCCCTAATGTGTCAAAATCGGTGCAGTCCTAGAGTACATGCTCTTCTGTCTGGGGCACATTTCCACAGGTGCACATGGCTGATACACCTATCTTGAATTTTGTGTACATGTGGTTATGTAATCGGTTGTGCCCTGTTCTGAGGCGGAGGATAATGACTTGTTCTGGTCTGTCCATAATAAAATAGTTGTCTTGTGCTAGGGTTGGTGGTTTCCTGATGGATTTAATGATTCTTTTCTTTTGGTGGTATGTGACTGGTACATCCGGCTGCTCTTTTGTCGCACCTTCCCCTGCCAGTTGATCAGCTTTCTCATTTCCAGGCACTCCACAATGAGACGGTATCCACTGCATTACGACTCTTCGCTGAAGGCTGAGTTGTGTCAGCAGTGTTTGCAATTCTGGTAGTTTCCTAGACTGGAGTGCTTCAAGTACTCTTCTTCTTCTTCTTGTTCACCGGCTGTGAATTCCGGCGGTAAGTCACGGTTGTTCGTCCAAAATGGACTTTTGGCTTTTACCTTGACCTGAGTTTTGCGTGTACATCCGTTTTACTGGCTTATTTGTTTGCAGTACTCGTTCCCCGCCTTTCCGGCAGATGTACTCCGACTTCGGAGGAAGACGTCAAGCCTATTTCTAGGTTGACTGTGGCCATTGTTTTGTGTGGGTCGAGATGTTGCCTCATTTGTGTGGTGTCCTCTTTGACCTTCAACAGGTGTGGCCCCCGGTATGTCGTCCTTAAGGCAGCTCTATGTAGAGTTTTCAGCCCTCAAGGGAAGGCAGGGGCAGATCATGGACATTCCCCGCCATCCAAGGAGGCTTCCATAAATGCAGAGCCGACACATGATGCTCTGGGTTCTGGGCTCACCCAAGGAATCGTCACGTCCTGCCCATGACTGCTTAACCTCACAACCGTGTATTGAGCTTCCCGCGCTACAAGGCTGCGCTCTCCAGAGATCAGCGGGGAGCAGCCCGCAGGTCTAGGACGTTTGTGGCCACACAAATAGGTACATTCTTTTTCATCTTACGTTAGACACCTTTAGCGTTGTTTCAGCTGTGCCCTTAGCACGACAGAATGGGGAAGCAAAATGCGACAGGCGTGGCTTCACCTGTTTGGTCCCAACACTCGGGCGAGTTGGACCAGTGGGTACGGACATTCAGACTTTTCCTAATCGGTACGAGTTATGATCGTCGGACTTTGAGCTTGCATGTGTGCCGTGGGGTGTAACTTTGTTGGACATTGTTTTCAAGCCATATGAATAGTTGCTGCCATGGTGTACCTCAGCGCGGTGACGACGACACTGAGGATTGACAGAGGATGTACGTGGGTGGGATCTTGCTGCGAGAAGTCGCCCACAAGAGATGTTACTCGTCTTGGCTGCGGGTAAATCTCTCGGTCAGGGTTGAGTCTCAGCAGCACAGTTTTCCATTCGCTCCCGAATTTTAACCAAGAGTTGTCATTTGATGGTACATTTAGCAAGCAGTCCTTGAGTTTTGTTACTTTTCACCCATGCGCTTGGGGGCGGGCTGGTGAGAGCCAGAAAGGACTCTACACCTCTAGGGGCCGCCAGCTCCGAGATCCCCTGCCAACTCTGTTAATGCTCATTTGAGACATTATCCGTGGCGCACGACGGGGACGTGCAACAGGAGTCTTGCATGAGGTTCCGTAAAACCAGAACAGTGAAGGAC